ATATTTAATGCTTTCATTTCTTTTCTGTGTAAGTTGATAAAATGAATGCATGACCTGGCCAGTTCCCCACCAGACAAACAACATTTTAAAAGATTTCCGCAGCATTTATCTTTCTTCACCACCACTTCAGTTCTTGAAAGTGTTTAACACAGTCACTGATATTTTAGTTTCACAGGACTTGCCGATTTTCTGCCTCTCCACTACAGCCAGTCCTGATAGGGAGTTTCAGGTTCCTGAAAGATTCTGGCATTTGAGAGATTTCAACCATCAGAATAAATTACATATGTGGTTTGTCCCTTCCCTCTCATACGACCCACAGGGGCGCCTCATTAAATAGTGCTCCTATTGTAGCTGGAGGAATTGCCCCATATCCACCAAAATTAATGACAACATACATCTCACTACCAAGCTTACGGACCTTTGTCGTCATGCAAACAGCTATAAACAAGATGGCTAGCTAGCAGCAAACTATTTGATGTTATGATTATGAAACTGCCAGGATTTCATAATGTTTTACCACACAAAACACTTGGTTATGTTTAGGCACAAAAACTAATTGGTTATGTAGAGACAGACAACCACACAGGCAATTTAGAGTCACCAGTCAAACTAAGCTGCATGTCTTTGGAAGCCGGAGCACCAGGAGAGAACCCATACAGGCACAAGGAGAGCATGCAAACTTGGCACAGAAAGGCGCCAGCGCTCTACAGCAGAACCTTCTTGCTGTGAGGCGACTGGGCTAACGACTGCCACCCTGCCTGGTTACGTTTAGGAACAAAAACAATGTTATGTTTAGGAGCTCAGCTCTCCTGAGGGGAAGTTCTGTGATTTGTACCTAGTCATCCACCCAACCTCGTCCTAAAATGATATTTAATATTTGTTGGGAACTATTCAACAATTATTTGAAGATCATCCCCACCCCTTGTGCCAATAGCACCATACTGCTAGTGTTAAGTCTCCATGGCAGTGGAAAGCACATTTGCCAAATCCTCAGCAGTATACTGCTCCAGCATTGCTTTAGTCTGAAGAACAGCACTCTGTATTATCAATTGCTTATATGATGGAAGGTGACTGTCACATACAATTCAGTTGTAAGTGCTATCCATGCATTTGTGGTCAGAAACACCTTTTCAACACTTGTCAAACTACTGCGCAGGTAGCATATCCTTTGCTATCATCTCTATGATGAGGGCTCTTATTTGCTCTGCATGTCAATCATCAAACCGCCTTCTTTGGGTGACAACGCTGTCCATTGACCACACACCACTTTCTGCTGGATGCTTCACCTTCAAATCACTGTGCATAGTTGCTGTCGATTTATGATATGCTAACTTAACCTGGCAGAGTTTGCACTGCACCTCATTTTCATTTATCTTCTTAGAAAAGTTAGAACTTTTGGATGGCTGTAGTCTCTGCATGTTTCTGCTGTTTGTATTTGGCGCTGTAGTAAAAGGATATACTGACCCTGCTATCACGTTATTTCCAGGTGCCGGTAAAAGCAAAGAAAAACAGTGGCTCTTTGTCTTTAAAGACAAAACCATAGTCGCATGAAATATTAGATTTTTATAGATTTAATGACTATTCAAATATTCAAGAATCATCGCCCATTCCTTTATAATACATCACGTTACTTATTCTTTTCTTTATGTCATAATATGGTCACTAGATGTTACCAAACTGTAACACGTAACATTTTGTCCTAATAACCTGCTGGCACAAAAGATGTATACTGTTATATTTTACAGAAGGACAGTCTATTGCAGCATTATTGTTTCTTCAATCCTTAGTTAGCTCATTTTTAAATTCTCAATTAACAGTATAATGTAAATCACACACAAAAAAGGTCTTTAGTAATTCTCTCTTTAGTGTTCCAAATTGTTGATGATTTAGTAAAGTCCAGAAATATATTTCCCCATTTTTTTCTTATTCACCCCTCACCCACCTAAAAACAAAATAAAAAAATCAAGTTCTGGACTAAACTGTGGATTGAGAGAATCATTACGTCCCTGGCAGTGATCTAAGAAGAACTATTTGAACACAGAAACTCTGCAACTGCAAGCTCTATCATCAAACAATGGTCGATGATTTGCTCTGCTCATACTCACTGAAAATGTTTTATGCAGTTTTAGTCCCTAAATTACCGGAATGTACAGTCACACAATGACTCTAGTCAGCAAACTGCAGCTGCAGCAGAAACTTTCTTCAGAATTAAGATCAGTGATAATCAAGGGAATTATTATAAATCATTGGGTGTCTGCACATACTGTAAATGGGGAAAAGATGGGAGCTCAACATGACAGAATGAACGAGGTAAGTAAAACTACTGGAAACAGTGCATATGTTAAGAGATTCTGAGTAATACAGAAGCACTTTACAACATTTAATTATTACTTCACCACCTCCTAAAAATTATGTTTGGTTGTGCTCAAGAAGTGAAGTGCATGAGTCTGCATTTCTCCCTGTGTATATTAACCCTGCACGGCTTCCTCACTGTCCTGCTTTATTCCACCTCTCATCATCCTTGCCGCCTGTGAAGTCAAGCTGTAAATTTCCCCCCAAAGCTTCTTGGTCATGACTGACATCATCATGGCTGAGGCTTCGGTACAGTATACTTAGATGGCTCTCATGATTACCTCCTGTCAGCTGTTGTCATTATCATCATAGTTCCATCTCACCTGCTGTGTGGTTGAACTCATCTTCATAACAGGCTTCATTGTAGGGCATTTTGTGTATGTGCTTGCTGTCCTTTTTTTTAATTTGCAATCATGAATCAATAGTAGAGGGTAATCCAATTATTTATCATTTCTTTTCCAAAACATTAACAAATTTATGGGCAGGATATTTGCCTCATGCAAAAAAAGACTGCGCTTTCCCTTAACACTCTGGAAGAAACATTTATTTTGTAATCACTCAAGATACTCTGCATTTTATTGCATCATGCCTTATTGCATGTGCTTCAAGGAACAATGTACAAATGCTAATTCTTGCAACATTCTGCCTCCATTTTTTGCTATGTTTTAATGACTGCATTTGCATGCACAACCCAAAGACAATTGGCAATTACAAGCAGCTAGATCCTGTAATAACAACATTTCAGATCTAGCACGTTCACAAAATCACAGAAGCACAACAGATCCATCTGCAACTCTGAAAAAGGATTCTTGCATTCTTACAACCTTCTCTTGCATCAAAATCTGCTCTCCCTGACATGTTCCCTGCTGGAGAATAAATCTGAGTTTGCACCATGTAGCTATTTACTGTGAATAAGGGGGCTCTCTGGTTCGTATGTCTCAACAGATGAAGAAACTGGCTGAGAAAAGTCATTTACTTATGGTCACACTCATGAGTCCAGGGAGTCATCGCATTATGAGCTCAGCAGCAGGCAGACTGAGAGATGGCAGGAGAAAGGCTGCGAGGAGTTACAGATGACTGTGCATTACATCAAATGTGATGCAGTTCAAAACATGAATATGTGATGTATAGGGGAAGGACTCTTTCAAATGTGGCAGCTGTGATAGGCAAAAGACAGAGGGTGACACCTTTTCTTCAGAGTGAATGAGGTCTTATAATCTTGACCTGGATGATGTCTAATGATTAAAGCCAGAGCTCGGCCTCAGACATTGGCCAGTGAAAAATCATGAAAGGATTAATCTCAAATCAATGCAACGTCCTATGCAGAGCCAACAGGTTTATTTTTTATACTCTATGATAATCTGCCACTAATTACCACATTCTGCACACAGATGTATCAGAGCAGTCATTTTTAAAAAATGGGGGAACATGCCTTCATGTGTGACCATTTTTTCTTCAGTAGCAAACAACAAAAACAACAATGCAATTGAACCTATGACAGGTGGGCAGCATTTCTGTTGACCCATTTTCACATGATGTTTAGGTAGAGTTGCATGTACTTCTGTAACCAATGAGGTGTTTCAGGATGGTTTGAATTATTTAAGATGTTACTGTTAAGTCTGATTTAAAAAAAACAACAACAACAAAAAAAAAAACATCCCTTTAGCTGGAAATCGCTCAGTACATGTTTGCATTGACTCACTACAGACTAGGCATAGTCACTGACAGAGAAGAGGGGTGAGGGGGGAGTGACAGCCAAAGACTCTTCAGGAAGGATTTATGTTTTGAAATGAGGCTGTTTTATGTCCCCGCATTATATGCACAGCAAAACACACAACCATCTTTTAGTGAAACTAATTCCTTCCCATAAAAATGCGTGACCACATGGAAAAGTGTTTCGCCCTATCAGTTAATCAGGTTTTTGCGTCACTTGAACTGCGGAAACCATAACAATATAGGCCTAAGACAAACATGGCACTGCTATTAATTTCCTTAGCAGTGTTGTTGTGGGGGGAAACGCAGACAGCTGCCAAGGTTAAGTTATCCCAGTCTCAGTCAACAGTCTTGTCACTGGTTGCGGTAGCCTGGTTCCGAAAGGACTTCCAACACGCTGGGTCAAAGCACGACCCTGGAGTTTAACGGCGCAGGTGCAGAGTTTATTAACAAAAACGCCGTTTAATTACCCATCAATGGAGAAATACAATTACCTCTGGAGCCCTACTGTCGCATTGTGTTGCCATACGACTGCCCTGAGAAGAATTATCATTTACCACGGGCCATTTTTTGAACTGTATTTCCCACAACAAGGAGGAAAAATTACATTTGTTGCTTAAAGGCTGCCCAAACAATACTTAATTCCCAGGCTAAATGTGTCTGAAAGAGGCTGCACTGTGTGTACGGCATGCAGCGCCGCATCCTCAGACAGCATCATCTCCACTTCGGCATGCCAGGGAGACCTGTAACTATCAATTATACTGCGGTAGCCACACAAACAGCAGTTGTTGCATGTGAATGAAACATTGCTACTGAGCACATTTACAACTATTTCCAGCTATTATTTTAGCAGCGACAGGTGCAAAACCTAAGAAATCGAGTCACGTGAAACAGACCACAGACAATGGCAACCGTTTAATAAATAAGCATCTCACCAGCAGCAATAAAGGTTGCGTTTTTGCCGTTTCTTCTCTCTCCCGACTGGCTTTCCTTAGAGCTAATGAGGTTTCTGACGTTGGATCCAAATGATTTCTCCCTCAGCTCTTATTGTCCACTGGGTTTGGATGTTTCTGTTTTTTTCCAGCTGTGAAATAATCGCCGTCCTCTTGCAAAGCTCTGCCCTCTTCAAACTAACCTTCCCGCCCCCTCCTTCTACCCATCTCAGATAGGCGCTAGCCAGGAGGGGCAAACCCTGAACCCGAGGGTTGGTTTAGAGGTGGCGATGTGTCACGCGGATCAATGCCCACATGAACGTGCGGTAGGCGTTTGCTGGAGCTCTTTCTGTTAACCGACCAGTTTGTTAGTGATGCTCTCGACAGCTGGAGGGGACTCTTTGCCCCCTCCCCCGCCGCCTCCTTGTGCGTTATTGCAAAACAACCTCCCAGGCGATGAACACAGTGAGTGGGCCCACTTATTAAGCGGGATCCGTGGCTAGAGAACTGACGCAGGTGCCCAGGGTTCAACCGACAGAGGGTTACCGACAGAGACGCCGAGCCCAGGAGCTGCTACTGACAGTGACAGAGCCATCTCATCTGAGTCATGCAGTAGTAGGAAATGGGAGCACATTATTCCCACACTGTGACCTTGGGGTGGTGTGGTCTAATCAGAGAGACAAGCTGGGAAAATATAAAAAATCTTGGCAGGGGAAGAGAAAAAAGGAACATCTCACTTTCATGTCAAAATGCGCTCAAGGTGTCCTTGTACAAGGCATGTAATGCCCAAACATTACTTAATTCCCAGGATAAATGTGTGCAAGGCATGCAGCAGTAAATAGTACAAGGCTGCACTTGCTCTGTGTCAACTCCCAGATGTGTCTGCGTGAGATGCAAGCAGTCTCTGTGCGCATGTTAATTTCTGCTGATGTACAAGATCAAAAATATCACAACTGGCAAAAATAGACGAACTGAGTGACCTGTCAGTCACATTTCTATTCACATTTAAATTACATATCACAGCTCCACGGATCCGATAATTGCTGTAGTCAGATTGCACGTGAATCTCTTTTAGATTTATTGGAAAATTTCATTACTCATTGCTAACAATGCAAAGGATCTGTGCTCTGTGTTTACTTGTTAGATAACACGTTTACTGTGGTGAAGCCTAAGTATAATTACTCAAATACTGTATATAAATACCATTTTGAGGTATCATTTTCATTTTGTACTACTGTCTTTAAATATATGGACTGCCAAAATGACAGTATTATCAGTATTAGTATTAGTATTATCAGTTTTATTATTATTACAACATTAGTAATGTACTGTAGAGTATTTGTAGTATTTTCTGTGACAGTGGTAGCTTTGGATACACATGCAGTCAGTCTAGTCGAGTGAGTTTCAAACCAAATAAATGCGTAACATCCATGAGTAATAAATGAGCAACTTTGGCAGCTGAAGTTAATTTAGCAAGTTAAACAGTGAGTGAATTAATGGATATGTTCACTGTTTCTCAAAAGCCAGATCTCTTTTATTATTGTTGTTTCTTAGCATTTATAGACAGCTTTGCTTTATTTAGAAATTGACTGTTTTCTTTAAAACAATTCAATGGGACTTTTTTGTTGAAATTTAAACACATGATGATAGAGCCCCCCCTTCTGAAAACAAAAAAACTCACAGTGCACATGCCTTTATTTTTACCTATTTAAAAAAGGATTACAACTTGTCCTTTCTGTCACGTTATATTCATTACTTGTCTTGAATACATCAGGAAACAAAACCATACCAAAGTAATAAATCCAATTTTTTTCTTGCTTTCACAGAGTCCCTAAGCTTATATCACCTTATGCAGCTTTTCAGAAAGGGAAAGGAGAAAGCAAGATTCCTTTTTGTGATTTTCACAGGTTTTTTGTATCTTGTCTCTAATTAAGTTTCATGGCAGGGTTTCCTCTTGTTCTCACTGAGGGTCTAAAGTTTGAGGATGCAATTCTCATTTATCATTTTCATTTATTGTTTCATTGTGAAGCCATTTGGGACTGCAATTGTAATTAGAGCCTATAATAAATCTGATTTGCAGTGAGTACCTGTGGGCATCTGGGCGAGAGGAGAGAAAAGTGCTGGCCAATTCTACCAAGGAGTTTGTGAGCTATGAGGAGAGAGAGTGTGTTTGGGCATCTGAGTGCAGTTTTTAAATTTTTTTTTTTAAATTTATTTTAGGGGGAAATTCACAAATGCTACTAAAGGGTTCAAATTATCTGCAATACCACCTGCTATATTTAAGAAAAACATATTTCTTTAGTCTCTTTCTTTATTTGTTTTATGTGTAACCTTAGCCTGAGAGAATCTACTTGTAGTAGTGTAAATATGAGCAGCGGAAAGTGTGACATTTTACATTCATATCACATTTTATTAAGTGCACTTACCTTCAAATTATTAAGCTAAGCACAATGAATCAAGGACAGTGAGCCAGTTCCACACTGTCTACAGTTACTGTCTTCAGCGTACTGTAGCTTCCTTTCAGTACTTCCTTCAGCCAACATAGTCATGTCTTCTGGCTAATAATTCTAAACTGACACTGAGATATGTGTATGTTTTGGCTGCTTTTGTTAATTAGCCCCAGCTTGTGGAGGAAGATGTGTTGGTTTTTGAAAAACTATATGCAGTTTATTTCAAAATAGACTTGCCAAATAAAGTTTAATGTGAAGAAAAAATGAAAGTTTACAGCAGACTGAGATTTATTAGGTCAATATAATTCCAAATTTTTGTCATCATTTAAGAGCATTTAGTAACAAACTAGACGGTTAAACACTCAGAGAGTGCATACCTCCACCAAGGCAGGTCAGTTTCCATATAAGTCAGTTTCCATTACACCTCAAAGCAATATTCCCACAATAGTTTGACCCAAATAATATGATTACTTGATTATGAAAACATACTGCTAGCATTTTGAATGATGCTGATATTATGAGTCTGAAAGCTATTCAAGAAAAACTATAGAAATGAATGTTTACTAAAGGAAAAGAATGTCTAGATCAGGGGTGTCCACACTTTTTCGCCTCGCGAGCTACTTTTCAAATTACCAAGTCAAAATGATCAACCTACGCCCGTGCGCACACACACACAAACACACAAAATATATGTATGAATGAGTGTTGTAGTTTAATGACCAGTCTGAAAGTGCCGCTCCACATTTCCCTTCTTTGGAATAGTGATGGTAGATTGGTAGATTAAGCAAACGCATTTCGAATATAACGTCATGAAAAAAAGTCCTCCTCCCATTCCGCATGGATTGTTTTCGGTACGTTTTTGGTTTCTTACTTGATTTGGCTCCCCCACTCATTTTATACCCTTTAGTAGAAATTAATTTGAAGGCTGACAAAGTAGTTCGCTCACTGGAGGTTTGCAGTAGCTCGTGCGGTTGACTGTGCATGCTTGGTGACTCGTGTGTTAGAAAAGACAAGATCTCAGACTGGCTGTCCTGCATGTCAGTCAAGTAGTAAATGCCATAGGGAGGATGGATGATAGGCTATATATGAATGATTGTTGCTTTCTGCTTTTCCTGTTAGGGTTCGCCACAGCAAATCGTCATGCTGACCATTCACATGTTAACATTTGGCACGTGTTTTACGCCGGATACATTTAATTTATTTTTGAATGGCACGCGATCTACCAACACTACCTTTGCGATCGACGTATTGGGTACCCCTGGTCTAGATTAATGCCCCATGCAGACTGACATAATAATGTATTCTTTAATTCCATTATAGATGCACAAAGGTCACACCATGTGGCTGCATGTACGTTCACTTTAGAGTTCATTTTCCAATGTGCCTACTGCTACACTTATTAGCTCCATTCACCTTTAGTCCAAGTGCTCAGCAGTGCAGCAGTATACTTTCACCACAAGGGGGCTCACATACAGTCAACAGTCTTCCCAGCACTCACAGTGATGAAGAATCCTTTAAAATTTCCTAATCTGGCTGATGACACAGATCAGCACCAAAACCTAACACAAACCATTTCATCCCAGTCCATTCATTACTTTTTGAATTATGCTATGAGCAAACCAAGCAACATATGCTGGTGAAAACATTGCATCCACCTTGGTGGAAATAAAAATGCCAAGTAGCATTTATATTTTTGTATTTATTTAATGTATCCTTAAATCTATCCTCTTGCGGAAAAATCTGAGCATTATTGTGTGGCTCAAACATTGTAATCCCTGTGGTCACACTGCTTTAGAAGCAGACACTCAAATGTTGTCACTGCCCAGTCCAGTTTCGTTTAGATATTAATGAGAAATTCTAGTGATTGATAAATACCTCTGGACATCACTTTGAATGAAGCCTCAAGAGGTACTACTGGCCAAGAGGTTGCACCAGGCAGCTCTGAGATATGAATATACATGTTGCTAGGCAGCCTCATTGTTACATCCAACCTTTTAATTTAATTTATTTGTATAGCGCCAAATCACAACAAAAATCATCTCAGGGAGAAAAGCTCAACAAATCCCACTTAAGCATTTGGTGACAGTGGGGAGGAAATACTGCTTTTAAGGTAAAAAAACCTCTGACAGACCATAGCTTTTGGTGGGTGGCAGTCTGCCACAACTGGTTGGTGTGAGTGGATAGAGGAGAGAGAAAAGCATCAAGACACAACAAACAAAAACTAGGCAGGTTAATGTGGCTGATGACTGCTCATCAGTGTACAGCTTGGGAGCCAGGGATACCTGCAGAAAGTAGAGATGTGTGGTTCATTTCTAAAATATCAGTATTTCCTATCCCAGTGTTTACTGTCCTAGGATCAATTCCCATGTTAAAAGATTGATATCTAAAAGAATTAGGCTAATCTGGGGTAAATGTATTTTTTATTTTTAATAAGGCACACAGTAGACAGTAACTACTGTCAGGTATGCCCGGCTGCACCTACTTTCTCACTCCCCTCACTCTGTTTTCACTCCCTTACCCTCATTACGTTATCCTTTACACCTGCTTCTTACCCCCGGATTACCACCAGCTGCACTTGATTAGTTTCTCCCTATTTAGTCCCTGCTCTTTGTTCACTCCCCTGCCAGTTCTTTCTAGCTTTTCTCAGGCCCGTTTGTTCCCCGTCGTTCTTTTTGATTCTGTGTTAGTTTTGTCTCCTTCTCTCTAGCTGCTTAGATTCATTCCCTCCTTGCCTCAGTCGCTCCTTCGGACCACGGACCTCCTCCGCTCTGCTTCATCTCCACCCTGCAGGTCGATGCACAGTCTACTACTCACCGTATGTACCCTTTCTGTTCATCTTCAATACCATCCAGCTCGACCAATCCAGGAGTGAGTCCCAGTGTCCGCAGCCCGGTCCTCTTCTCATCATCTCCACCATTGACTGTGTAACCTCCTAAGCTCGACACCCGGTCCCATTATTACACTACTGTTCATTTCTTGTCACTTATTTAATACTGTAAATAAACCGTCACTGCCTGCATCGAAGTCAGCCACTTGGGTCCGTCTATTTTTCTCGCTCACTTCTGTGTTCAAGCCACCCTAACAGAAAGAACTGGCCAACATGGACCCTGCTGACTCCGGTGCAGGAAGATCACCGTCTAATGTACAACTAGCTCAG